GAATTTGTCAGACCTTTAGTTGATCATAACAATGAGAAAACGTACCAAAATTATCGTATTCCTCCATTGTTATGGGTGTGTGGACTCCGCCCAGACAAGAGACATCCAGATTATGATTACCTACATTAAAATACACAATGTAATGAATTTTTTGAATTTTTCAGACCTTTAGTTGATCATAACAATGAGAAAACGTACCAAAATTATCGTATTTCTCCATTGTTATGGGTGTGTGGACTCCGCCCAGACACGAGACATCCAGATTATGATTACCTACATTAAAATACACAATTTAATGAATTTTTTGAATTTGTCAGACCTTTAGTTGATCATAACAATGAGAAAACGTACCAAAATTATCGTATTCCTCCATTGTTATGGGTGTGTGGACTCCGCCCAGACACGAGACATCCAGATTATGATTACCTAGATTAAAATACACAATTTAATAAATTTTTTGTTCATTTCAGACCTTTGGTTGATCATAACAATGAGAAAACGTACCAAAATTATCGTATTCCTCCATTGTTATGGGTGTGTGGACTCCGCCCAGACAAAAGACATTCAGATTATGATTACCTACATTAAAATACACAATTTAATGAATTTTTTGTTCATTTCAGACCTTTGGTTGATCATAACAATGAGATAACGTAACAAAATTATCGTATTTCTCCATTGTTATGGGTGTGTAGACTCCGCCCAGACACGAGACATCCAGATTATGATTACCTACATTAAAATACACAATGTAATGAATTTTTTGTTCATTTCAGACCTTTGGTTGATCATAACAATGGAAAACGTAACAAAATTATCGTATTTCTCCATTGTTATGGGTGTGTGGACTCCGCCCAGACACGAGACATCCAGATTATGATTACCTACATTAAAATACACAATGTAATGAATTTTTTGTCCATGTCAAACCTTTGGTTGATCATAACAATGAGAAAACGTACCAAAATTATCGTATTCCTCCATTGTTATGGGTGTGTGGACTCCGCCCAGACACGAGACATCCAGATTATGATTACCTACATTAAAATACACAATGTAATGAATTTTTTGTCCATGTCAAACCTTTGGTTGATCATAACAATGAGAAAACGTACCAAAATTATCGTATTCCTCCATTGTTATGGGTGTGTGGACTCCGCCCAGACAAGAGACATCCAGATTATGATTACCTACATTAAAATACACAATGTAATGAATTTTTTGAATTTTTCAGACCTTTAGTTGATCATAACAATGAGAAAACGTACCAAAATTATCGTATTTCTCCATTGTTATGGGTGTGTGGACTCCGCCCAGACACGAGACATCCAGATTATGATTACCTACATTAAAATACACAATTTAATGAATTTTTTGAATTTTTCAGACCTTTAGTTGATCATAACAATGAGAAAACGTACCAAAATTATCGTATTCCTCCATTGTTATGGGTGTGTGGACTCCGCCCAGACAAGAGACATCCAGATTATGATTACCTACATTAAAATACACAATTTAATGAATTTTTTGAATTTGTCAGACCTTTGGTTGATCATAACAATGAGAAAACGTACCAAAATTATCGTATTCCTCCATTGTTATGGGTGTGTGGACTCCGCCCAGACACGAGAC